GTTTTAATAAGGAACTGTGGGTCGGGTTAGGTTAGGTTCGGTTAGGTTTGGTTAGGTTAGGTTAGGTTGGGTTAGGTTATGTTGAGTTATGTTGGTATGCGCGTGTACTATGACGTGTACGATAAGTTTACGAGGACATTCCTTCTGCTGGCAACTCACCCCTACATGGCATGGGAGTTGGGAAACTAAGGCACCTTTTTGGACCGTTTGAGAGCTTGGCGCAATTAAGGAGCTCTTTGGCGCAAATAATACATGACCATCCATGTATGAGGTAGATAAATCTCGGGTTATACAAAAGTGTATTGTTGAATTATGACATAAAAAATAACTGTTGGTGTATTTCTCGTATACGCCATTGTATTTCATTTTCGGACCCAAACAAATAACCAGCGCTAGGAGCCAGTGTTAACGATTAAAAATAAATTTGCAATACAAAACTAATTTAGTTTTGGTTGGGGATATTGGATTTAAATGTTATTAGTATTGTGCATTCGCCAAATCAAAGAATGATTGATTGTATTGTTTCTACAAAATTATAAAGAGAGTTTGATAAACTACCAGTTATTTTGATAAAAAATGGACATTACTTATATTAGGATTGGAAAATATGTTAAAATTAATACATTCATTTGTCATGCTAGTGTTGATTACTTTTGCATCTATTATTTAAAATAATGTTTACCGATTTTATGGATGTGTTAGATGTTTATTAGTAATATTCTATTTTTCTAATGATTGTGCAATTTACTCTTAAAAACACATCACTGTCCTAGAAATTCAATAAAACATATATAGGATTTAATTTTAAAAAAAATTACGGTGTACTTTTAATGTTAAGGTTTCCTCTTGGTAAGGAATTTATCACTTGTTTGTATATAATAACTTAATAAGTTGTGTGAGCCAAATACCTTAGGAAAAAAGCATCTAAATCAAGATATAAAATTAACTATGAATTACATTATTTATAAACAAAAATGCCTTATTTTCGAAGCCACATTTTTTCAACGTTTAGGGTATTTTGAGATTTGAAATTGAAAGAACTGTGAGAAAATAAAATAATTCATTAATTTATATTAATAACAAGTTAAAAAAGACCGTTGATTAAGACAAAGCTAATTAGAATTTTGAAACATATACTGTAAAAACTACAACGAATTTTGAATACAAGTATGTTTGTCTTCTATAACCTTTTCCCGTAACTAAAATCAAACCTAATATAATTCTGATAAATGTAAATAAAAGCTAATTCTCAAACGAAAATAACTCGTTTTAATGGAAACCCTAATAGAGCCAAATGCATAAATATAAATAACCTTAGAATAATTCATTATAGAGCGACAAAGCATGGAATGGAGTAATGACCCACTATGTTTGTAAAGTTCCCGCCTGCGGCTGTTTACTTACTTATTCCATTTACTTTGGTGGTTGGTTTTCATTTTCTCTTACACCTACAGATACCAAATGTTCACGTACTTCCCTATTAAAGGTCGTCTGGTGATACCTGATATACTCTATAAAATTCATTATAGACTTATACTTTTATTTTCTATTTAAAATTGTGTCTTTGGTGCATGGCTGGTAAATTTATTTCTTAAATAAAGCGTTTGGTTTTAGTTGCTTCTGGAAGCCGCTACTACAAATATATATTTAATTTGTAGCATTTCTTTTTATTTATTCATACTTAAAATTCTTAACAACAATTAAGACTATCACTAACAAAACCTCATTGTACCCGTAATATTTATTACTTTAAAATAGGTCTTGTTTAGATAAAAAAGGTTATCCTTAATATATGTATACGATACAGATTTTATTTATTATTTTAGTTTGCACGATCGTGTTCCATTCCCATGTCGCATGTTTGGGTCAATAGTTGGAAAATGCTTTACAGAAACCTGCTCATGTGTGATTGATAAGAACCACGGAAGACATTTCATTCCTTTCTTATAAGTACGATATTTAGGATATTGGACACAAATAAAAATAAATACAGTTACCCTTTTAATAATACTCATTCTCAGATGGTAAAATAATTGAATTAAAAGTAACACTTAAACTTTCAATTTAGTACAAAATTTTACTTGAACTCAGCCACTTCAAAAATAATGTCCCTATTTTATATGGAAGGGAAGGCTCTTACTAACAAATGAAACATCCACAAGCTTCACTCCCTTTCCACTTAGTCCCTAAAAAGTTTTTGATTTCATGCTGTACGTGCCCAACTATTAAGCAGTCCACGTTAACTGTCCATGTTTAAATGTACTTTTAACGATTGCATATTTTTAAAGGCACCGCATCAGATTGGGGAGCGAGCTGGTCAAGTGGTAGAGCGCGAGTGTGGTGCCTAAGATCATGGGCTCGAATCCCGCCAATGAATTGATTTTATCGAAGTGATAAAGACACACGACCCTCTAGGCCTAGCCAGAAGTATAGCGAAAAACGCTAGATACCTAACATAACCTACGTTCTAACCTAACCCAATCTACGTCCTAACCTAACCTACGTCCTAACTTACTTAACCTAACCTACTTCCTAACCTGACATACGTTCTAACCTAACCTAACCCAATCTACGTCCTAACCTAACCTAACATACGTCCCAACCTAACCTAAACTAACCTAGCTTACGTCCTAATCTATTAACGTCCTACTACGTCTATCTACTAACGTATTAACGTATCTAATTACGTCCTAACCTAACCTACATCCTAACCTAACCTTACCCAACCTACGGCCTAAGATGTAAACATGAGACTTCATGTAATAGATAAAAAAACAGCAGAAGATTAGCAATGTTAACACTTTCAATGTAAACTTTTATGTCACGAGACGTGGGTGGTTTGGAGGTTAGAGGAAACCTCTACACACATACAAGGGTTGTGGCCTTGACTCCTGTTCAAAACCATTTTAATATCAAATGCCAATTTAAGTCAAGCTTTAGGTCCAACTATCTTGATAAAATATAAAAAGATTTAATGGAATTTTTAATATTTGGGTACTTAATGAGAACGTCCACCTCATTCAATTCGTAACTCACTGGACTAAAAGATATACGATATTTTTTCATCGTTTCTATTAGCAAGCTATAACAGTTCTTTTAGTTTAACTGAAGTACTAGAGGTTTAGAACATCTATATTTTGAGTCAATCATTCTAGAGACATATGCATTTTTTATATTTTACACTACAAACTAAGGAAATGGAGTTTTACTTCAATTTTGTTAAGAAAATTTATTTTAATATTTACGTTCTCTACACTCATCCAAATGAACTTTAGTTAATAGCGCATATTTGTGGTCAGAGATCTTTTTATATTTGCATAGATGCAAATAGATGAGAACTAGTTGTAATGAAAAAAACCACTTCCCTTCCTTATCATAGTGTCCAGGAGTTTTCAGTCTAATTTTGTTCTAACTAAAAACCAATTCATAATCAACAAATTATTTAATTTATAACGGTTTTAGGTTTTGATGATAAACACTTCCAAACGCACACTGCAAACACATCATTTCTATATATTTCAAACACTTAGGCCAGTATCATGAACACTGTATAATGAGCATATTTATATACCTTTTGCCTCATAACAAAATGAATCAGTTCATTCCGTTCAAGTAGCGTTCAATTGCACTTGTTGCACTTAACACAAAGCACACCAGCGCAATATTACAATCATGACGCGATATAATTCCACTTAATTCCACTTAAAGTCACTTAAAATCCTAAATCAAGTTCAGGGTTTGGATTATGTTGTCCTCTATGAAACGCCTGCCTTTAATATATTGCCATATTTTTCACTATATTCTGACAATGTAGAAAATTCAAAATTACATTTACTAGTATATGACTATAGTTTTATAAATTACTTAATTTAATAAAATAATTAAAATAACTAAAATAAACTAATAATTTAAATTATAATTTTAAATTAAATAATTCTAATTTAAATAATTATTTAAATTATTTAAAGTAAAATATTTAAAACAATTTATTGATAGTAATTTAATAAATCGTTATTATTTAATAAATAAAATTACTATACGAAAATTATTAATTGTAATATAGGTAATTTTTGAAATGAACAATTGAACAAAAAATCCACACCTTTACCCTATTTGTTGTTTTATAGGATTTATTGGACTGAGACAAAGACTGCATGTTTATCTACCAAGTAATAAAGAAATTTCTACGTATATTTCTGAATAATTTTTTTAAACATTAAAATAAAGGATTAAAACAACTTTTAACAATACGTACAGCTGATTCAAACCAATTAAACCGTAACAAAACACTAGCACGCGTAGTGAGTAAATGGAGAACTAATCGAGAGGGGGAAAAGTAGAATTAGAGCGAGGGAAAATCAGCTGATCGATTTCCCTCGCTTTAAATTAGAGCTTGGGAAACGAATACTTTCATTGATGTCTGCTGTTATCGAAAATAGTTACTTTCGTTACGGAGTGATGAAATAACTATTTTCACTGTTTTACCACTTTCACTCAACAATCAGTCTGAATTCATTATTCTTTAAAATAAACAAGTATGAGTTTACCAAAATCTCAATGATATTCATAAGTTTTAAATGTAGTTTACATTATACTCATAAAGCATCGCAATGAGCAATAATAAAAAAAAATACTAAAGATGTCTTTCAATTATTTTTTTAAGGTTGTACGCTAACTACATTTTTACGTTACTCTTACAATAAAAACTTAATACTATAAGTTTTGTTTTCACAACTATTATTTTGAAAATAAAGTGCGGTGTGTGTATGTTTTTATTCTGCAAAAGTTTCTATTCTACTTTTTGATATCACGGTAGAGAAATAGATTTTCTGCGATGAAAAACATGATATTATTGCCTACTGTTTCTTCTTATTTTTTCCTTGATTGGTTAGAAATTAGGGATAAGTATTTATTCTTAATTAACTGCCTTTTGGTTTGCTGTGGTATTACTTCATTTATAACATTTAAAACCTTGTTATCAATTAATCTCTTTGTTACAGGTATTATGGAGGAAAACTCGTATAGGTTAGTTACATTTATTGTTAGAACATACATGAACTTTTCATAGCTTCTTTTGTAGGTTTATTATCATAACTATTATTAATTCTACTACATATTAAGATTGTGATGTAACCTAGGTGTATTTCAAACAAAATATTAGTCGAGGATGAGTATAGAATGGTGTAATATGTCTAGTGTAGCTATCCCCATGGACGAATAGACCGACCGCAGTGCTGCGGTTAATATCTGGCGTCTACCACTAGGAGTGCCGTGTAGTTACGTAGCACGTGCCCCAACAAAACGGCGCTCCAAGCGGTGGACGTGAGAACTTATGCTAAACCGCAGCATTGCTGTCGGTCTATATAAATTCTATTTGTCTATGCTATGACTGACTAAGATAAGCTGTTTCAATTGTCAAGAACAACTATTAATATCCCAATGATCAGGCTGAAAAAGGACAGCTGGGACATGTTTTGAACTATCAAAAAGCTACTTATTTTTGTAAATAAGTTATAACTTTTCTCAAGTAAGTATACTCCAACAACCTTAAATGATTATAAATTTAGATTGCAGCTATTTTACTTTCATTTTAGGTTTAACAGGTAATTTACAATTTTCAATATATTGAATTTTAAATGTTCAATACGAATGGTTGTATGGTGTTCATTCATATTGTCAAACAGTTTTATGGTTTCGTTCGATTAAACATGTTTTACTCTAAATGAACTGCAATATAAAAAAAAATTATTTAATGATCATTCCCACTTCATACATATAGAAATGTATTTTTAATGTTTATAGAACAATCTCCAGACTACTATATAAGTAATCTTTAAATAAGAAAAAAAAATAAAACAGTATTATGTTTTCCCAAGCAATGATTCGTCTTTGTATTGAATATTATAGTTAAAAAATACTATGGCAGCTACATTAAGTAACAAAAGAGTCGTGTCATAAAATACGATCAAAAGTTAAAGAAACAATGGGGTTGTAAAAGTGGTTTTGATGAAGGTAATGCACTTAATCAACGTCATCGTAGATTGGTCATTTTCTGCTTGCATGAATCCGTTGCTCTAAATTGTTTCTGGGAAATTATTCGTTTCTCTTTTGCAGGCAACGCGCTTCATTTTACAAAATCGTAATTAATTTAACTTCTTTTAAGTAACCATTTCTTTTTTTAGCCTTTTCTATGGCGAACTTTGATAACGTTTTAAAGTATTTGGTTTTAACACAAGGAAGGCTTTTTGACTGAATTTGGAACAACCTTTTATTTTACAGTTATTTATAAAATATTGCAATTAATTTTAATATAGTATCATTATGATTTTTATAGCACATATATCTTAATAAATTTTCCAAATACTTAGATCAAGGTTGTTAAGTAATTTTTAACGAATATTGTAAGCAAAAAAAGCAATTTTGGATTTTGTTTTTATTTAGAATAAAGAAAATTCCTAACGAATATCTATTGAATCTTATGAGCCTGAAATAAAATTCAGATAAATGTTTTGGTTACACAGACCGGCCTTAGATATTAAATTGTCATCCTAAACAGCGTTCTCCACCCCATTAAAAATTTTGTAGCTTACTATTACGGTAGTTGAAAATATTTACGAAAAAGGGTAATTCGATTGGGTAAATTTATTTATATTTTAGTCTGTCCAAGTCAAACAACATTTACAAACTCTTTTTGCTTGTGATGAAATCAACATGAAACTTTTGCATACCAAATTATGAGACCACTTCATTCATTATGTAAGGGAATTGTTAGCGGTTTGGAGTTAAATGTTGATGAACGTTTAAGGTTACTTTGCTGTTTGACTAAACAAACCCCCTTTGTTCCTCCGGTTGGTATAAAATACATTTAAACTACTGTAAAATTGGGTTTTACCCATTGTAGCCTTCCATAAAAAGAATGCAACGTCCATATTTGCCATGGTTAAAAAAAAAAAATTTGAATGTACAAGGACATAATTAGTTATTCAACGTTTTTAAATTCCCTTTGGAAGAGTATGTGGCATAAAATAAACATTTACATTAAATACGCTACATAACGTCGTTATTATTTTTTTTATTAACACCATACGAAGAAATTGTTGGCCAGCAGCTGGATGTGTGTTCCGAGACCCGAAATTCAATTCCATTATAACCAATCACCAATCATCAGGGGAGCAACTGGTCTAGTGGTAAAGCGCTTTACTTCATTCCTCTAGGTCCCGGGGATCAAATCCCACACAAGGGTGATAACTCCGCCACCACTAGGCCTAGCTGGAAGTAATGTGAAAAAATTCCTAACCTAGCTTAAAACGATACTATTATATATTTGGCAGTTTTATAGTGCCACTACCCAAGGATTCGAATGCCAACTTAAGGTTTATTAGCGTACCAAACTACCAAACAAATAATGCCTTCAGGGCTAGGAAAAGTGTTTGTGTGGTGATACAATATTTAATTTTATTTCGAGTACTTTTTTACAACAAATTCAATAAAACATCAATTATATATTTGAAACAAAACTAAATAATTTAGTAAAACTAAATATTAGGTCATATTTTAATTTTTGAAAAGGTTTTATGTAGGTTTTCATTAGGTATTGTTTAAAAATTGTAACGAATGCGCAATAAAACCGTACGAATTTCGTTTCAGTTCCTCGAGAAATGAATAATATATTTTTACCCTGACTTACATAGGTAAAAAAATACATCTTTCAATTACACGCTTTTTGTAAATTAATCTTTTATCCGTATAAATTCTTCAAGCGTTATCATAAAACACGAAAAAGAGAGATTTGGTTTTGAACGAGAATGTTTAAATCGTTTTGCAAATACAGTACGGTATAGAAAACTCGTATTTTATCACGTAGTAAAGACCCCTTACGGGTGCAGAAAGAATACCAGAGATTTGTCCAAGAGATTCGTTAAGTTTTTACCTCCCCGCATTGCAGTGATATATAAGTTCAGTGGTATTTTTATCATAGAAACTTTGAGTTTTGTGTGTTCTACGTAACCTAGAACAATCATCCAATTAAAAAAACTGCATAATATTAATAGGTGTACTACACATTTATGTTTGAAATTAAAAAAAATATTATTGAAGATATTCAAAATAAACAATTAAAAATTATACCTGCTGGATACCTATATCTAAGATTAATGTAAATTTTTAGATTGTGTAAACTTAATTTTTTTTATTCCAAAAAGCAATATGACCTTAACAAACACAGATTACAAAATGCATACACTAAAACTTGGGGAAACTTACAACTACTTACAATATGTTATTATTAATTGTTTTCTGTTTAAGTCCCACCTTTATATCCTAGGACGCTAGGTTTTGAAATAAGATTTATTTAATACTAAGCTATCGACTGTATTTAATAAAATGGGCATTTTGGTTAAAATATATCCATAAACAAGCAAACTACAACAGTTTTATTCTCCATAAGAATAACTTGGGAATTTTAAAAGTACATTTTTAAAACTATCTCCGTAACCGTTAGGCATATAACAACGCTGAAATGTACAAAATTATTTATTATTTAAGCTCTATATAATGGTTTGGAAAGAAATTGTAAAATTTTGAGTAAAAAAAATTGTAAACCCCAATTTTTACCCTGTGAAACCCCCCATATACCCCCTACCCCTGTTCCCATAGTCCGAATAATAATCCGTTCGAATAAAACGTAGGTTTACACGATTTTACCAAATTTCATTAAAATCGGATCATTTATTATCGAGTTATCATGCTAACGGACACACACGAATATATGATATATGAATTTGAACGGTGGTGTTTTTGGCCTCATGGGACCTTAAAACGAAAAAGTAAATTGGTCCCGGCTGTAGGTCCTAACATGAGACCTACGGTAATAGCTTATTCACTAAGAGAAATTTGCTAAACACGATTGAATGTGATTATAATTTGCACAACACTAAAACTTGTGTAGAAGGCTGAGTTATGAATATGTCAGAGATCAGTGCACTGAGGCTGAACCCGTAGAGGTGGTAAAACTTTAAGCTCAGAGATTTCGTATTAATATCGTAATATTCCATCACGCCAAGAAGCTTTGCTGGATTCTAAACTTTTTGGAGCTAAAATATCTTTTGTATTTACTCAAAAAGGTATTTTATCAATAGTCATGTCATATTTTATTAAAAACATTGTAAATTTTGTAAAATTATAAAACTATTTTCATAACGAGATTAGTAATGATTTTTTGATGTTGCAGCAGACGTATTAGTGGACATGAGTTAGTGAGTCAGTTGGTAGCACCAACGGGTTCGAATCTGGTATTTGCCAATATTTGTTATCGGTACAATTCACCCTTGTACTATACCGGCTAACCCCTTGCTTTGCTAGATAGGCTACGTCCCCCATTCGCGTCATAGGCCAAATGAAGGTTTTAAAACACCTAACCGAACTCTTAAAAAATATATACGACTAATTTTGATTCTTGTGTATGAGTATAAATTGGGATGGTACAATAAATCCTTATCCAGTATGGTATATCCTTTTACATCAACCCCTTAAATATGTAAATAAACATTTAAATGGTGTTTTTATCCTGGAAAAAGTACACAGCTTATCTTAAAGCAACATGTATAGAAAAAAATACCTAAATTGTGTTTTTGATGGAGAGATGAACAAGAGAGATAAAAACAAATTTTTTTATAGATTTATAAAATTCAACTTCAGCAACTAAATACGTTTGTTTTCGATGAATAATGTTCAATCAGCTTCTGTGAAAAAAACACGAGAACCAATTTGTAGACAATAAAAAAATGTGTTTTCGTTCTGTCCCAGTGTTATTATATCAATCTTGATATTACTGAATAAATTAAATTACCAAGAAACAAACTAAATTATTGCGCAACAACGAAATCACTTATTGCCATTGCTATAAATATTAGAAATTAAATATTTTCATTTAAAAACTAACTTATTACTTACTATTTTACTCCGCTCAACCCTAGATTGACCTCATGTCTCGTTGTAGTTTGTTCGGTTAGATACATGCTAAGAGC